CTTCAGGGGTGCCTCTCTCTGAATTGAGGTGCCCTATAACACCCTCAGCAGTGTGTTTCACTTGATCCCCACTCTGTTCTGCTCCCCACTCTGTCTCTGGTGAATCCTCTCACCGCCCCTGCATCTCTGGCCTGTACCCAGTTCTGTATGAATAAGTGAATCTTTAAAAAAAAAAAAAAAAACAGTCACCAAAAAGGGCCTCCCTGGTGGCACAGGGGTTAAAGTCTTAGCGCTATCGAGCTATCACCTGTCCTGAGTTCAAGCCCCGGCCAGGAAGGGACCCACATGGTGCAGCAGACCTCTCCTGTCTCTCTGCTGCTCCCTTCAGCAGTGGATCTGCTCCCTTCAGCAGTGCCTGTTCTGCTCCCCACTCTGTCTCTGGTGAATCCTCTCACCCCCTCACACATACCTCTGGCCTACACCTGACTTCTTATATACATCAATGAAATAAAAATCTTCATATAATTAAAAAAAAAAAAAAAAAAAACACCAAACAGCTGCAAAGCAGGTCTCCTAGTGTTGCTTTTCCCAGGAGGGTCTGGGTGCTGGCCCAGGTATGCTGCACAAGGACCCATACCCGGCCGGACCTCTCACCTGCATGGCAGTCAGGGCTGATCTGCAAACCTTAGGCGGAGCCTTCGGCTGTCATCTGGTCTTGACTGAGTCACCTGTGTGAACCTGTGCTAGGTTGGCCAGGAAACAAGCCCAGAGACCGCTCCTGCAAACACCCGCAGGACAGACCCTCGGCCTCCACCTGGCAATTCCCGTTTACCAGCCAGTGTGTTTATACTTAAACAGAAAGTCAGAGCTGAAAGCCACGGGACTTTCACTGATATAAAGCTTGCATAATAATAACCATGATTACAAAGGCAGTTTTTCAGATCTAGATTCAAGGTCACTTGCTACAGAAATGATTGTAGAAATGGCTGACTTTCCAAAGAAGGTCACCGAAGCTCAGAATTTTAACGTACACACGGGCCCTGCAAAATGGCAATACCCAAACACCCCAAGTGTCGGCACAGAAAGGCCGGGAGCCTGGTGACCAAAGAGCACCGTGTCTGATTGCAGGGGCTGACCTGGGAGCCATAAAGACCTGCGAGATGTGCAAGCAAGGCCTGCTGGTGGACCTGGACGACTTCAACGTGACAGAGCTTTACCGGAAGCACCAGCAGTCCCGGGTAAGAGGCCTCACAGCCCCCCACACAGCCCCGCCCACCCCCCCACCCCCAGGGCTGAAGTCAGCGCCAGGTGCCAGGAGGGAAAGGAAGGCAGGAGGGTGTGGGTGGGGACTGGGGCACCCATTTCAGCTCCTTCTCTGAGAACAAGCTGTTTTGAAGTCAGAGCATCACCAGAGGACTGGAGAGGCTGGGTCCCTGGCTGAGACCCCCCTGCCGTGGGGGACTAAAGCAGCAAACTGCAGAAGCCACCAGACACGCAATGACCACCAAGTCCAGCAAGCTCCACACCCTGATTCACTGATGTCGTTCACGTTTGACAGCCACAAGAGAGAGAAATCAGGGTCTTGGCACAAAGGGCCCCCAGTGTGTTTCCCAAACGGTCCCCAAGTAACTCTGGGGGTATATGGAAGTGCTTTGCTCAAGGTGCATAAACCGGTCCGGTGTGCTTCTGACACCCAGTGAACTAACCCTCATGGGCATTGGGTCTGCAGCTCTCGGGAGTAAGGGTGCCGGTCCTGGGGGGAGGGGCGGCGGCTTCTGCCCAGGGTCACGGCACTGCCTGCTTCTCGGGCAAACGGCGGATGTAGAAACACACTGCCCATAGCGATGTGCGGCCACCGAGCAGGAGGTCACCGTCAGGCGAGTTGTGCTTACTTATACACCACATCCAACACGCGGTGTAAAAAGAGGAAAAACACCAGTTTGTGGTCATTTTTATATACCCGAAGGATAACGCCGTGGATATATCGGGTTACATACAACACAGCCTCAAAACTGGTCTCGCCGCTTCCTTTTCTCTCCGTTCCAGGCTACGGGGGTGTCCAGCCACACGCTGGCGCTCGCTGTGCTGGCCGGGCTGGGGCCGACCTAGGGCCGCAGTGGGTTGTGGGCTTTGCACACACAGGGGTCAACAAGTAGTTGCAGAATGAAAATCGCCCAGAGCCACAGATTGACCTCCCTCGGGAAAGAAAAGATGGGGGCCCTCCCGGGAGGTACAACAGGTTAAAACGCAACACTCTGCAGCTCTCTGCAGCCACTGCAGCTCCAAGTTCGATCCCCGGCCAGGGAGCTGACCCACATGGCGCGGCAGACCTCTCCCGACCGGCCAGCTGCTCCCCTCAGCAGTGTGTTTCTTCGATCTGCCTGTTCTGCTCCCCGCTCTGTCTCTGGCGAATCCTCTCACCGCCCCTGCACCTCTGGCCTGTACGCCAGTTCTGTATGCATGGATAAATACATCTTTAAAAAAAGTTAAAAAGAAAATATTTCCTAAAAAAAAGGAAAGATGAGCAGCCGTGTTCTGAAGCAGGAGATGTAAAACAACAGAACCCTTGCGAGCAAGTGCGATGTCCCCTCCCTCGGTGAAGTGGCTTGGGCTTCCGGGTCCTCAGTCCATAGCCTGATTTTTTTATTTATTTATTTTTTTTTTTTCAAAGAGCACAGCTGAGTCCACACGGTGCCTGGCATTCAGGCGATTCTGTAGTTACAGTTTCGGACCCTAAAGCCGCCAGGCGGAGGGACGGGGTCGGGGAGATAAGTCAGGAGATGCCGGGTGCGGACACGCCGCAGGCACGGCGGGGGTGGGCTGCAGGAAGCGCGAGAGACGCCTAGGAGGAAGCGCTCCCTGGGAACCAACTCCACGTGGACTCTGCGGACAGACGGCCGGTCCCAGCCCCAGGGCCTCGCTGCCTGAGAAGCAGAAGCCCTCACTGTCTGGGACGCTGCGGCTGCTGGGCCGCAGCCTGGGAAGGAAGCCGGCCGTCTGCGTGCCGAGGTGGGGTGGTCGCCGCGTGCGGCAGGGCCCCAACCGCCGGCCTCTCTGAGGGGACACCACCGAGGCCACGGCCGGCCCGGGGAGGGGCAGGTCCCCCTGCGCCAGGTTGTCGGCCGGCGTCACAGACCCCGGGGCAGGTGGCTGTCCCAGGAAAGCCCTTCTGGCCTAAGCATTTCATTGTACCGAAGGGTCTACTCAGGAGCAGGGACAGTGCTATGGTCAGCAGGTCCACGGACAGGTCCACGGACAGGTCCACGGACAGGTCCACAAACAGGTCCACAGACAGGACCACAAACAGAGGGCCTCCCCGGGGTGCCGACTCTGCCCAGGTGGGAACGGAGCAACTTTGGAAAGGGCAAGAGCATGATCTGGGCTGGCCTGCACCCCTCCCAGGGCTCTCTGCTCCTGTCTGGGGTCTGTTCTGATGGGGGGCTGCAGACAGGGCCCCAGACTGCCTGGAATCTTGGCCTCCTGGAGCCCCCAACCCCTCCACTCACCAGACCTATTCCCTAGCACAGGGCAGCACCCGGGGTAGGACACCCCCACCCCCCACCCCGCCACGCACGTCCTCTGCTCCCCTCAGAAAGTGAAAATCACTTGGGAGAAGAATTGACCAGACACAACTCTGATTCCAAATGTCCTTTTCCTGAAACTCCACCAAACAGATATTAAAGGAATAATAATAATAATAATAAATGCCTGCACTCCTGGAACCAACGGCAGCTGACTCCAAGCAGCATTTCTGCTTTGACTAAGATGGAAACCTAATCCTAGACCCACCCCCACCGCTGCCAGGGGACCTTGACCTTGGGGACGTGACACAAGCTCTCTGGACCTCAGTTCTCTCACGGGAAGTCAGTGGAAGATCACTTCCACCTGCAGAGCTGGGTGCAGGAAGAGCCCAGAGCCTCACCGACAACAGCGCCTGTGCAGAGCGGGCCCCAGTCAACGAGCGCGCCACGTTCTGGCCACAGAGAAGCCCCGCCACTCACGTCCAGGGGAAGCATCTGCTCCAGGCTACTAGGCCGGAGGACCTCATGCCCAAGCCAAGGCCCCCAGAGGTGGACCCCTATCGTCGGCCTCAGTGTATCCTGCTGGTGATAGAAGAAGCATATGCTAAACAGACCATGAAGTTGACTGTGCCAACCAGGGTCTGGGCGGGAGAGAGGGGGTAGCTCAAGGGCTGAGAGGCAGAGCTGGAGGCAGGGCAAGGGGAGCGCAGCAGAAACCAGCAGGGAGGGGTGGCCAAGCTCCCAGGGCTGAGGCTGCCCAGAGGGGCCGGGAGCGGGGAGGGGCATTCCCTCTACCCGTCGCCTCCTGCCTCTGGCTCCCGCCAGCGCCCTCCACTGGCCAGTCCCAGTGGGGCCACGTTAACGAGTCCACTGAGATCAGCCTCAAGGCCACAGAGCAGCGTGGAAAATGGATCTGGAGGGAGAAATGGAAAATACCCTGCCCCGTAATTACTCTATGTGGAAGCAGAGAGGCGTTTAAATTGGCTTCAGCGAGAACTTGACAGGCCTTTTGCAAATGCCCTTCATTATAATCATGGGTAGAAGCTGGATTGACAGACCCACGCTGGTGGGAAAACCACAGTCCCCAGAAGCCACACTCGGCATTTCTCTGCCGGTGGAAAGCAGCAGAGGGTTCGCGCTGTCCAGCCGCCCTGGCTGTCCCCACAGCCAGTCGTGAATTTAACAATGTCTATTTACTAGCAGCGTTAAGTTAAACTTGAGCCATCAGGGAAGCCTGACTTAGTCAAGTGCAGACACTGTCCCTGGACAGAGACTGAAGAAGCTGCTGTTTGGCACAAACGACACGGAGCATGGAGTATTACAACCTCAGCGCGTCCCCAGGGAGGGCCCTGGCCTGGCCTTGGAGTTGACACGTGCCCATTTCTGGGCTTCCAGGCCCTCCCCTGACTCCCAACTTTGGCTCATCTGGACCTATGACCCAGCCAACTCTCAGAGCTGTACACTCCCTGGCAAGCCGCCCCCGCCTTGAGAGGAGGCGTCTCTGGTGCCAGAAATGGAAAACAGTCAAAGAAAGGGACAAACCCAGGGGCAGCCTAGTCTGGCTCTTCCTTGACCTCCAGTCACTCTCTCCCTCACCTATTTCTCACCTATTTTTCCTCCTTTAATTTTTACTTTGTTCACCTTCAATTATGAAAATCAAACAGAATTAAAATCGACATTGAGTGGTGTGTCTCTTTTTCTTCCTATTAAAAACACCAGAGCCCAACCCCAGAGATTACGAATGATTTAATTGGTCTGGGATGAGACCAGGTATCAATATTTTTTTTTTAAGTGCAGCAGAATGCACACAGGAAGTTAACTTTAGAAACACTTACTGGGTGCCTACACTGCCAGCTGCCCGGAGACCCCAAAAAACAGTCACTGTGGTGTTTGTTGGAGGAGCTAAGTCAGGGTGCGCAGGCTGCTGCTGAAACAGGCACTGAGGGGCTGACCTGCGCTCAGGGCTCTCGGGACCGGAGAAGCCCGCTAAAATGAGGGAGAGCTGGGGGCCTCTATCCATGTGCCCTCGCAACAAAGAAGCAAGATAAGCAGGAGGCAGACATATTTTTTTTTTCCTACTTTGCAGAGGAAGATAACACCCAATTGTTAAGTGAGTCACAAAACCTCAAAGCTAGCAGCTAGACATGAGCCAATCTACTCTGATAAACTCAGACACACAGCTTGCTTCAAGGCAAGAACTACATTCTCCTGGTTTTCGGTAGTTCCTGCTTGATTCAGTACCTGTTTAGTTTAAATAAATTTCTCTAACATTCCTGCAATGCCAGTTTAGTGGTGATGAAATTGTTTAGTTTTTGCTCCTCTGGAGAACTCTTGATTTCCTCTTCAAGAGGACACCCTTGGTGGGTATAGAATTCTCGGTTGCAAGTTTTATTTTCCACTCAGCACTTAGAGGGTGCTGTGCCACTCTCTCCTGGCACGCGAGGTTTCTGTTGAAAAGGCCGCTGGTTGTATCACAGGGTATGTGAGTACTCTTGCTGCTTTTAAGATCCTCTAGATTTAATATCTTCCCGTTAGATCATAATCTGTCTTGATGTGCCTCTTTGGAGCTCTCTGGGCCTCTTGTAGCTGGATATCAGTTTCCTTCCCCAGATTAAGGAATTTGTTGGTGATTATTTCCTCAGATATTTTTTCATAGTCTTTTCTGTCCCTCTCTGCCCTCCTCTCTCTTCCTCTTCCCTTCCTCCCTCCTTCACGTTTTTCTTTTTCTGCTACTCTCCTCCTACAATGTGAATATTACTCCTCTTAGTGTTGTGCCAGAGGTCTGGTAGGGTATCTTTGCTTAAAAAAAATCTTCATGTTGCTTTTTCTAGGTGAGTCCTATTGTCTTCCAACTTAACTGGCTTCTCTGCTTTATCCATCTGCTGTCAGCCCCCGGGCCCCATTGCACTGTTAGTTCTTTACCATAGTCTTCAGTTCTGTGATTTGCATGGATCTTCTTTAAATTTTTTACTCCTCCATTCTTCTCCTAAGATTGGTGAGCATTTTCCCAACCGTTACTTTGAGTTCTTCCTCAGGCAGTTTTTAATGTTTCTCTAGGGTCTTTTTCCAGAGTTTTGTTTTGGAGCATGTTCTTCTGTTGCCCTTTTGCCAGCTTCTCTGTGATTACATCTATTTTTTTTTTAAAGATTTATTTTATTTGTACACACAGAACTGGGGTACAGGCCAGAGGCTCAGGGGCGGTGAGAGGCTTCACCAGAGACAGAGTGGGAGCAGAACAGGCAGATTGAGGAAATACACTGCTGAGGGGAGCAGCAGGCGGGTCAGGAGAGGTCTGCCGCGCCATGTGGTCACCTCCGGGGCAGGCGGGAATCGAACTCATGCAGAAGTGGCTTAAGCTTCTCAGTGCCGTGATTTAACCCGCTGCGCCACCAGCGAGGGCCACATCTATGTTTTTTTTTTTTTTTTTTCCACATCTATGTTTTAAGCAACACTTATATTTGAACACTGTAGGTTTGGCTTTATACAGGTGATATCACATGGAGTCCCGGAGCACCATCTCCCCAAATTAGCCCTTCAAGCTGTGTCCCGTCTGTGGGCTGCTCCTGTCTGCTGTGCCAGTGCAGCACCCTGGGCTGTCAGCCCCCTCAGACAGTAGTGCATTGTTGGGGTTTGGTCTCAGCTCTGGACTCAGTTATTTTTTAGCAGGTGGTTCTGCAGGTCCAGCCTTGGTGTGTGGCTGCCTGAAGTTGCTACCAGGCGTGTATCAGTCTACACTGCCTGACGTGTTGATGTTTGCTGGACAAGTGGCAGTGGGGGGCAGTGTGATGTCAGCAGGGCAACATGTTGGAGGCATGGCTCTTAGTTAGCTCTGTGGGCTGTGGATGGGCCGGGTAGCTGCTGCTGGCGGTGGTCAGTGTCATGAGCACATGGGCACAGTGGCGGGCCCGCTCAGTTACTTCTGATGCATGTTAAATGTGGAACCACTGGAGTCAAGTGTCATGGTTGAATAGACCAAAATAGCATCTATTTTTTTCGTGTCTTTCATCTATGCGTATATTTTCTGAGCACACTGTCTCCCAGGCACTGGGTAGAGGCTAGGGACAAGGAGCAAGCAAAGCAGACCTGGTCCCTGTCAGACACCTGATCTGAATCCTTGCCTCTTTTGGGTGCTTTTGTTCTGTGTATGCCACACTCACTGTATGAGCTCATTTTGCCATAATGCCTTGGGGGAAGAGCAGAACACAGCTTAGCTTCTCCCCTTTCGTAAATGGAATCACTTTCATCACACACAGTGCAAACTCTGCCCAAAGTCATAGTGCTTGATGGCCCAGGCGGCACCCCCTGGGGCCCACACCCACTGCGTGATAGAGATGTGCTTCTGCCATCCTTGCCTGGCACACAGGAGGGTCTCAGCGGGCCTCTGGCTATCGCTGCTCCATAGCACAGCCCTGGCCTCACTCCATCTCAGCCGCGGACAGATGCCCTTGGACACACGCAGTCACCTAATCACCTTCACACCTGGGAGCATCTCCCGAACATACTTGAAAACTTGGTAGAAAGTTCAGCCAAGCTGTCTGATTCTTTGAGTGAATTATATGGAGAATTTCCACCCTCAGCAAAGCTCTTGGCCAAAATGAGTACTAACAAAATGAACTGGGGGGGGGGGTGAGAGTGAGGAGGAGCAGGAGAAAAGAAAGCAGCGACTGGCAGGTGGCTGCCACAGCTCACAACAGGCTCCCTTTTAAGTTACTCCACCCCTCCTCCCCCCACTCCAGACCTGCAGGCAAGGCCGTGGGGTCAGGGGAGGGGTGGGTCAGGGAAAGCAGGAGTCTCCAGCAAGTAACCTTCCCAGCCCATCCCATTTTGCCCTTGTGGGGAGTGGGGAAAGGAACTCTCCCTGCAGACAAGCCCCTCCCACCTGTGGCTTGGCCTATGAGGACGACGGGGAGTCAACAGTGAGCCACCTGCTCTGATTGGTCCCAGGCCCCCTGTGGGCTGTGCAAGCTCATCCCAGCCTGCAAAAGGGAGCCTGACCAGGGAGATTGATGGCGCCATGCAACACGTTCCCTCCCACAGACCAGAGCAGAGACACAATCTGCTGGAAGTGACTTTTCAAATTATCTGCAGAAAACATTAGTGGATATTTTCCCATCTGCCTGCCTCCGGGCCTTATTGAGTCATAAAAAGTAAATGATTTCCCTGAATGCTTTGACAAACCTGATCATTCCAAGCCACTTTCTAGCGGATTGATTTGCCGTTTTGCCGTGGCGTGTGTTTGTGCATAAAGGCTTGCTGATGAGAGACCCGACCACGGGCAGCTCAGCTCCTGCGAAGTGGCCAAGGCCACGGAGAGCCAAGGCTCGTTTTGTGAGCAGCAGCTGGCTGATGGGTCACAGGAGGGCTTCGCTGAGGTGGTGTCGTGGAGACAGACTGAAGGAGGCCTGACTCCGGGAGGGGGTAGGAAGACAGTTAACACAGAAAAAAAAAAAAATAGAGGAAAACAAGCAATTTCCTCTGACTGCCCTAAGCCAAGGTTGGAAAGAACACAGATAAGATGACCAAAGGCTAAAAATAGGAAGCCGACTTGGAGACAATTGACTTTACAGACAAGCTGGCATGGCGGAAGAGGCCTTCACAGTGACCTTGGGGGTGGGCAGCGGCCAGGCTCTGGAGCTGGCCCCGCTTCAGAGGGAGGAGCCCATCGATCCGGCTCAACAAGGGCACCTTTTCGGGCAGCTGTTGTGTCCTGTGCTCTGTGCCAGCTTCCCGAGCCGCCCTCCTTAGATGGGGGTGGGACGCGCCTCTGAAGACCCTCAGGCTGCTGCGGAAGGAAGGGGCATTGGCTGTGTCAAGCCAGCCTGGGCCATCCTGGGGAAGAGTCTGGTCCTGACCTTTCCAGATTGTGAAAAAAGGCCACACCCGCCACTGGGCATTTTATTCCCCTGGGGCTTCCTGAGCACCAGGGCCAACCCAGCCGGAGCCCCTAGAGCAAGGTCTGGCACAGGACGGGCGGGATTAGAGCAGCAGAGAGGGAGGAGTGGTCGCTAACAACGCTAATTTAGTGAAGATGTATAAGGGGACAAAGGGGCTAGTTTTGCAGCAAAGACCCCCAGGCCAGCTGTGGACAGAGGTGCTGTGGGCAGCCAGATGGCTGTGTCCTCCCTGGGCACGTCCAGCTCCAAGCACCCACGAGGAAATGGGAACACAACCCACCCTCCAGTTAAAGGCCAAGTGCAAGGCGCCGCGTACAAAATAAAGATGTGCTTTGGCGTCAGAGAGTAAAGGAAGGAGGCCAGGCAGGGTGTCCGGACACCTGGCAGAAAGGCGACAGAAGGACAATCGGGACAGGCACCGAAGTCAGCCCTGGAGCGGGGAGAACACGTGCAAAGGCCTTGGGGCACCCACTGCCACCCTGACCCCGCCTGGGGACATGCTTTTGGGGGTTAAATGGCAACCGAGCGGCAGGACGGGGGCCTTGGGGAGGACATCAAGCCCCACTGCAAAGGCAGAGTGAGGCCTGGGCCCTTTCTCTGGGCAAACGAGGGAACCAGGAAAAGAACGCAGCCCCAGAGAGCACCCCTAGAGAGCACCCCCACGGCGCCGGTGTTCCAGACCCTCCCACAGCAAGGGCTGCCTTCCGCAGCCACGTCTGTGTTGTGCCTACGACCTGCAGGCTCCGGGGCTCCTTGCAGGCTAGGGCGTGGTGCCCCAAGGGCTCACTTCCGCCCCCACGGTCCCGCCCTCTCACCAGCCCATGCCAGGGCTTTTTTAGATCCCAAACAACACCCTCTTCTGCTCCAGGCTCACCAGCCCAAGGGAACTCTGCTGAGCACACACTCCACTCTGCCCTCTCCCCCTCCCTGCCTGTGCTGCGCGCAGTGCCGCTGTCTGAAAGGCCCACGCCACCTGCCGGAGCCCCCCACGCTGTCACGTGGCCTCCTACTCCCGGCGGACCCAGCTGGTCTCCAGCCCCTGGGGCAGCTCCCCCGGGCCTGGCAGGCCCTGCCATCTCTCTGACATGACATAGTGGGATCCCAACAGGAGCTGCTGAGACTGACTCCTGCTCCCCACAACACCCCAAAAGATTCAGTGCCTACAGCTGCTTAATAAATGTTCGTGGGGGCCCTCCCTGGTGGCGCAGCGGGTTAAAGCACAGCACTGAGAATCAAAAGCCGCTTCCGCATGAGTTCGATTCCCGCCTGCCCCGGAGGTGACCACATGGCGCGGCAGACCTCTCCTGACCCGCCCGCTGCTCCCCTCAGCAGTGTACTTGGTGGATCTGCCTGTTCTGCTCCCCACTCTGTCTCTGGTGAAGCCTCTCACCGCCCCTGAGCCTCTGGCCTGCACCCAGTTCTGTATGCACAAATAAATCAATCTTTAAAATAAATAAATAAATGTTCGTAGTGTGGGACTGGGCATGGAGCTTTCCAGAGCATCGTCCACTGGGGAGCAAAGAGTGCCAGGATGGCTGCCCTGACCCCCAGCTCATCCCCTCCTGCTCTGTGCTCCCCAAGGACAGTCTGGGGACCTTCCAGCCGCCATTTCTCATCTGCTCAGGCCTATCACCCCTCCCACACACACACACACACACACACACACACACAGCTGAGCTCCTGAATAGCTTCCAGAGGTACGTCAAGCTTCCTTTTCCATATTTAGGCACAAAACGAGCTGATGAATTCAGGCTTGTACCTGGTGCTGCTGCTTCACCTCTACGAGCAAAGGTTTGCGGAACTCATGAGACTCAACTACAACCGCCTTGCAAGAGAGAGGGTAAGTCTGACGTTCCCCGCCACGCAGCCACACCCCCCAAGGCTGACCCCCCTCACGCGCTGTGCAACCTGCTGGGTCCTCGCGGTCACTCGGTGGGTAATGGCAGCGTCATCGTTAGGCTGAGATTTAGTGTCTGCTGAGTGTGCGCACCGTGGCCCTTGGCTGAACGTGATAATCACATAGTTGCTCCCGGCAAACAGGAGGAGGAGGAATTAAACAGTCATCAATGGCCGTATAAGCAAGTGAGTCTCCAGAGAGGTCCTCCCTGTCCCCGCGATAGACCTGCAGGAGTGCTGGAGCTGGGGCGCCCCCGCCCAAGCATGCAGGCCCCTCCCCTCAGGGAGAGCCCCCCTTTCAACAGAGCGCTCCTGTGTGATCTGCCTCGGAGCCCGGGGCCACGCCAGCACTGGCGACCCCCCACGCCAAGAGACAGAGGCGCTAGAGATGACCGTGTGTCATGAGAGAGGCGAGGATGCATTTCGCAGGGTGAGCGCTGTGGCCACCCCCAACACGAGAACCGAGGGCTCTCTCGGAGGCCACGTGATGTGAGAGGCGCCGGGGGCGGCATCTGCAGCTGCCGGAGCCTGGTCTTAGCAACAGCCGCCAGGACGTGGGCAGCGGGCAGCGGCAGGCAGCTCTGAAGTGTCCGTGCCCAGCTGGTCATCGTCCGGGCAAAACCCTCAACCCCTAGGCACTTCCCTCTGGTTAAATGCCTCTCTGAGGCCTAGCCAGGGTGGGGGAGCACGCGCCTCACTGGAGGTCATGCCAGGTGCTGGCCTAATTTGAATGTTTTGGGTTCCCATAACACCTTTGGGGTTGAAACTTGACCTCTGCTCACACCAGAGGCGGGGTGACAGTGGACCATCACCCACGATGCCAGGAGCAGCTCGGGGGTTCCTCCCCACCCCCACGTCCCTCCTGACTCTCTCCTATATCAAGTGGACAAGAGGCCAGGCGGTCACTGCCTGGAGGCCATAGCCCAGGGATTCCTGGGGTTCCTTGCCCCAGACCCACAGGACCGGAAGCTGTGTTGATGCGCTTGGGGGTCACATCTGTATTAGAAATGCTGGGTTCGAGTCTGAGTCAGAGAACTCTAGATTTGCCCCTTCTCTTTTCTGACTTAAACTCCCCCCTTAGAGCGGCAGCTCCCCGTTTAGAAGAGCTGGGTCTTGGCCAGCCCATCTCCTCCGGAATCTCACCCTCTCTGTGACCCAGGCCAGTCTTTCCCTCAACTCTTCCGTCGTTTGGACGGTGACATAAATTCCTCGGAGAAATCCATTTCCAAAAGCACAGGAAGCAGGAAATGATCCTTTGTTAACATTTCTGCAACCTCGTTTTCATGATCCCACATCTTCCTAATGAATGTTCTTACTGCACGCTGAGCTCCCGGGCAGCGGGGGGAGACACGGGTGGCAGACGGCCACGCGGCCGCAGGGTGGCGCCGTGGCAGGGCTGCGAGGCCCACGAGAGACGGCGCACCGCCAGCTCCCGAGGGCCCCCGCCCAGCGCCCCAGGGAGCCTCCTGGTGAAAATGTCCCGGGGAAGGAGCACGTCACCCCCAGGATGGCCGAGGTGCACGCTGCCGTCACCGCGGGCCCACACGGCACGTGAGCGGCCAGGAAGCGGATCTCAACCACTGAACCCACAGGAGAAGCCGAGATGTCACCAGCAAGGGGAACACAAGTGGGAAAACACGTGGCTTTTGTCAGATTCCCGCTCTTCCAGATTTTCTCATGGAAAATACTCCGGATCTGAGGGCCACGTCGAACCAAAAAGAGGTGCACTGGGAAGGAACCCCAGCCCCTCTCCTGCTGCTGCCCGCTCCGGGCTTCTCGGCCTTCAAGACACCGAGTGATGGGTGACGCCATCTCCGTGCACCACGCAGTGCCGAGGACCTCAAGGGTGTGCCTGCCACACTCGACACCACGACGTCGCTCTGGTGGAGGTCAACGCCCCGCTGGGAGACAAGACTCACGTACTTATAAAACCAGGAAAAGAATTGGGAAGTCGCACCAGGTCAAGAGGGCCCCGCCGGACCCCTGAGTTCCCAGAGGCTGTGAAACTGGCAACGTGAGGTCTGCCCAGGGTGCGGCTTCCTGGTGCCTGTGAACCCACAAGCAGGCTGTCCCCGAGGGCCAAGGGACGCCTCTACACCCCTGCCTCCCCGAGGCCTTCGCCTGACCACTGCCACTGCCCCGGGCTCTGTGGCGCCCACAGCATCCAGGGTTTAGCCCAAGTTGGGCACAAGAGTGCCAAGCAAGGACATGGTCTGGAGGGGTGGGTATTGGCCACCTGGGCGTGGAGCTTTATCTCCTGTGTCCCACGGGCCCAGGAGATGCCTGGCACACGCCCATGCTCAGTAACTTGTGATGCTCAAACAATGAACTCGTGGCCCAGAACGTGCTGCGTGTAGGAGCCAGGCCCGCGTTGTGTTCTGGGAAGTGATAGGACGCATGACCATGGGAGAAAGTATGCTAGCAAAGGGCCATCCCCACATCCAAGGCATGTTGATTTGGTCAGACCTCCTGCGTGCCCACTGTGTGCCAGGTTCTCAAAAACATTCTAGAAGCCAAGACAAGTAAGACACCCCTTGCCTGCACGGGACTTGGAGTCAAGAGACTCGAGAGGTAGGCGGGAGTATTCAAAGATGTCGTGTCCAGAGACGGCGCGGAGGTGGAGGAATCGAGGAGTTACACGGTGATGGCAGACTCCACGCTCACCCCCTCGGCCCCCTGCGGAACGCGCGCCAGGCCGCACCTTCAGGCCTCGCCTTTTAATTGGGTTAGCCTGGACTCTGCCATCAGCCTCCACACGGAGGCAGAGCTGTTTCCACTGTCAGTGCCACCAGCCGGCCAGCTCAGGAGGTGACCCAAGCCATGTCTTAGTTCAGCAGAAGGACAAGAATAGGTGGGCGGGGCCGGGCATTCTCCACCCCTGGAGGCACAAAGGCTCAGAGACGGGATGTGAACCCCGGTTTGGCACACTCGGGGAGTGGCGTGTGGCTGGGGCTGGCCGAAGCTGCCTGGAGGTGTAGGCAGGGAGCGAAGGGCTGTGTGCTGGGTTTGTACCCAGGGCGGCAGAGCAGGAGTCTGCAATTCTGAGCGGCCCCGCAGAGAGGGCCAGGAAGGGAGAAGCCAGTGGGGTCTCCCCACCCTTGGGCCTGAGGCTCCGGGCAGAGAGGCCTTCGCAACTCTTCACCTCCGTGAACACCTTCACCTGCAGGAATCCAGGGGAAGGGAGGGCAGGCGCTGCTGGCCTGGGAGCAGCAGCAGCCACTGACCCTTCGCTGTGAGGCCGATGGGCCTCCCTCTCCCCTCGTGCTCCCCAGGCAAGGGAAGGGACCCAGAGGCCAAGCCTGCCTCCGCACTGGCCAGGCAGCTGCCCCAGTAACAGTGTCCAGCACCCCTGCTTTTGTCCCCAGCCGGTCACAAAGGCCTTCTTCTCCGGGGAAGAACGCCAGCCCTCTGCACCGGAGCCCACATCTCCGCAGCCTGGCACGATGGGCTCCCGTGGAGAACACAGTGTTTCTTTTTGTGGCATAAAAATGCCATAAAGTCAGAACAAAGAGGGATCCAGAGCCTTGATGGGCCTGCTGCTTCCTGCCAGGCAGAGAATACAACCGATTGTTTAAAAGCCAGTGGCGAGGCAAGTGGCCAATTAACACCGCCTTTACCCGGCAGCCCGTGGCTGAGCCTGGGATGGTCAGACCCGGCTCTGCTATTCAGATCAATGGCTGAAAGGAAGCAAGTCTGGTCACGCTGGAGTCCGCACTGGCCAAGGTGACCCAGGTGAAGGCCGCCCGGCTTTGGGGCCAGGCTGAGGCCGGCAGGTGCCAAAGGTAACGCTGCCTGGCACCGGGTACCTCCCGCCTCCGCCCAGCTTTCCTGCCCCTTTAAGGCGAAATAAGGGATTCCTAGAACACTCCTCTGACTAGGGAATCGTACATGTATTCACAGTTGCTTTGGAAAACAATTCACTTTTCATTGTCTTCTTTCTCATAGTTGTCAAGAAATTACCCACAACCCAGACCGGAAGAAAATGAAAGTAGGTTTGGGGCTCAGTCCTGCATGCAGGGCGTCTGCTCCTTTTCACTCTGTCTCTGCTCTCACCCTACTGCTGTGAAAGGAAGGAACGGCCACCACCCAGGGCCACCACCCAGGGCCACTGCCCGGGCAGCACAGCCCCACAAAGCCTGGGAACCCTCTGGGCAGCGCTCAGGAAGGCGCTGGGCCAGCTGGAGGCCGGGCAGATAAGGCTTCTAATGCATCCTGAAGCAAGGAAAAGGGCCAGCCCGAGAGGAGGCCAAGCAGAGGGGCCTGGAGCGGGATGGCCCACCGCAAGGCTTTTTCCTTTCCCTTTCCTGGGGTCCTCCTGCAACCAGGAAAGGGGGGCGGGGGCTCTTAGGGTTTCTCCTAAGGCCTGGAAGGGGGCTGTTTAGCCATTACCCAAAGGAACCATATCCACAGGATAGTGGCGCTCCAGACCCTCCCACCATCCCCCTAATCAAGCGGGTCGGCTGGGTTCAGACATTCAACAGGAAAACGGGCTGCTGAGCATAGGTCCCTCAAAGGTCGCAGGGCAGCGTCCATTATCCCATGGACACCCCAACTGCCGGGATGTGCTTAACCGATGCCGGAGGACCAGCCTGGCCTGGCTAGGCTTCTCCCACTGCGGGGTGACAATTCCGGCCGTGGAGGGCTTGCGGGGTGGAAGTGGGGTTTGGTGTCTCCCAAAAAGGTTTAGAACGGTGATTCGCAAAGGGCTTTACTGAGGGCATCACCTGGGGAACTTGCGGAAAACAGATCCTTGGCTCCTCCCAGAGTCCAATTCCGGGGATGGGGCGGGCCCGGATGACCCCAACGCAGCTGTCCCAGAGATGCCTTAGGGCCCCCCAACACATAGGCCTAGAGAGGCTGAACCAGCCCAGATCTCCACAGGGTGGGGCCCAGATTCCTGCACTAGCGCCCGATTTATTATTCCGGGCACACAGGCCCACCGCTGACCAAGCGCAGAGCCGCAGGAGGGCGCTTCCCGGGGTCCGCAGCCGGCCCCAGGGCCGTTTCCACGGGAGAACTGGCTGCCCCCCACCCCCACCCGAGCTAGTTACTGACCGCGATGCCCCGACCGCGAGGGCCCAGCGCCCCCTCGTGCCTCGCCAGGCCCGGGGCCCCCAGAGCGGAGGGCAGGGGCGCCTCGCTGGTCCTAATCTGGGCCTCGGGCAAGAGCCGTGCCCGGAGGGGGTGCGACAGTGGGGCCCTTAGGGCGCGCTGGGAAGGACCCGGCGGCCTGAGGGTCCCGCGCCGCCCCCACCGGCTGCACCCCTCTTAGCCCCCAGCCCGGGGACGCCCGCAGTTCTTCCCGGTCGGGGACCTGCGCGGCGGGCGCGCCTTGGTGTGTTCGGCTGGCCAGGGGCGACCCCTAGTGGCCGCCGCGGGCGCTGCCGCCCTGCTGCCCCTGACAGTGGGGAGCCTCCCCCCAGGCCCTGGGCGGGAGAAGAGCATCCTTGGGGTGGGCTGAAAAAGGAATCTCCCGAGGGGCCCCTCCCTGCGCGCGCCCTGAGCCTGCTGCTGCTGACCGAGCTCCAAGCTGCCAAGGGGAGCAGCCACTTCTCCCCTGGAAACAGGTGTGATTCGGCCGTCCTTGCCTCCAGCCTGCACACTGCCCCAGACGCTGGCTGGCGGCCCTGCACAGGGAGCGTCCTGGCAGCTGGTCAGAAGCAGCCTTTGCCGCTTCCTGCCAGCGCCACCAGCTAGACAAGAGCCAGGATAGCAGACATGCCTGGCGCCCTCCCTGGGGCCACACACTCTTCTCTGGTCCTCGGCAGCCTGGCATGACTCACCTGTTTGGCAACCGTGGCTAAGATGGGTTGCCAGAGCCAAGTCACAGCTGTGACCTGCCACCCTCGTTCATTTCAGGTGAACAGGGAGGGGGGAAAGGGCAAAGCACAAGGGCACACGGGTGGCCCAAGAGATGCCAGCCTCTTTGTGACTCCGCGGCTCCCTTGCCAACCCACTCACTGGGCACCCCTCCCTGGCACCTGGGAACAGGGCCATGGCACCAAAGTAAGGGCTACTGGGAGAGTCCCTAGGTGTATGCGCCCAGGTGTGACAACCTGTCACTCGGCTGTGACCCAGCCCCCCCCCACATCTGCAATCCAGTTGGCACAAATGACTTGTCAGCAAAGCCAGGCCCAAGACCAGGGAAAGGAACAATGCCACCCGCAGACGTCAGTGTGAGTTGGGCAGGCATGGCAGGCCAGGGGCCGTTGGGCAGAGCAGAACACCCCCACCCCCCAAACATGCACAGATGCACACGTCAGGGCAGCTTGCTTTGGGGAAAGAACAGGGTGGAGGAGGCGGAAACGAGGAGGGCCCAGGACGGATGGGGCGCATCGCTGGCTCCTGCTCCCGGCCCTTCTTCAAAGTCAGAACCAGTTCCAAATAGGGGGTACCTGTCAAGCCAATGGGAAGGAACACACGAGCACAGGGGTCCCGAGAACAGAGTACACCCCACGCTGCCTCCTCCGCTAGGCCCCACTGGCCCCCTCTCTGTCCTTCCATCACAAGGTGCTCTGCCTTTAGCTACCGATGGCCGAAAGGCTTCTGGGGGAACTGGGTTAATTCCCTTCCCTGCTGCCAGGTTAACGCAGTGGGGGGGTCACGTGGGGCGAGCAAAATCTCCCACAGCCATTCAGCCTGCACATATCTGTGGACCAGGCCACGCGGGGTGTGGAGGAGGCCGAGAGGCTTTTGCTGAGGGACTTACAGGCAGCCCCATGGTCGGCTGCAGGCCCAGTGTGGCCAGCTGGGGACTCCCCGGGGCTGTCCGATCCCCACACTGTTCCCGATGGGGAGGGAGCCGGCGGCTGCCCCTGGCAGGAAGGGCCATCCCCGCAGGACAATCTGCCTGCTCTGGGCCCAGCCTGAGGTCTCCTTGCTTTCCAGATTCCGAGTTGGGAGATGAAAATGGAAGCCGAACTGATCAAAGCAACAGCCGGGTCGTCTAGCGAGGGACTTGGCCGTGCTGCTTGGCCACGACCTCCCCCTTCTGTCACCTCCTCCGCCCCCAGCGCCTCTTCCTGTCCCCCTTTACTGAAACTGAAACCAGTGTGTTCACAGCTACCTGTCACCGTGTGCTGCTCTCTTCTTGGGTCTGTCTCGAGCCTCGACAGACAACAACAGAGACCAGCCCAGTCCCGGGCAGCACAGGCCACACAGCCTGGCTTGCCAAGCCCTGGCCCCCCACACCCAGGCTGCCTGGCTGCCGCCCCTCAAGCCAGAAGCCCGAGGGGCCCCAGCGGCCAGCGGAGGGTGCCTGTCCGGCCTCACTCCACCCCAGGGCAATCAGCCGCCTGCTCAGTAAACTGACTTATTCACCAGCTTCGTCTCGTGGTTATTTCAACCTCCTTGGACAAAGACTCGGACTCCAAACCCGGTAGCCTGGGAAGGGCAGCTCACAGCCCCCCAAATCCGCTTCTCCTCGCTCCCCCCGCCCCATCACCACCATGAGGGATGGGACATCCTAAAGACCCACAGGCCGGGACAGGCCGGCAGCCTGCCACCCCGGTAAGGCCCCACTAGGGCCGGGCTGGGGTGTGGACTTACAGCCCCTCCTAATTACATCTTAAGGCCCAAAGGACGGGTCAAGACTTAGGGGTGAAAGAAAAGGTCAGAGAAGGTTAATGAGGAAAGAAAGCTGTGAGAGACAGACGGACGGACGGACGCAGGTCAAAATACAAAGGGGATGAACTCCACACGCATAAAAACATCACGCGGAGATCAAGAAGAGACATTCAGGCTGAGAATAGCTGCACGATGGAAACAAAAGCCCTAAAGCCTCAAGTTCTGCCCCGCCCAAAGGAGGCCCCAAACTCTAATCAACCTGTTTTTTCACATGTTTAAAGTTGACAGTAGATAACATGAGCCAATACTGAGGAAGGTCTAAGCAGGAACAAAGCAGATTTTAAAAATTCAAGTTATCCCAGAGCACAAGATGGAATCTGAGGTGGCGTGACCACAACCTGGGTGGGATCCCCCGAAGATGTGGCATGTTGGGGGCGGCTGCCCCACTCCCGCCACAGGTTTGTGGAAAGGAATTCAAAGATCTGCTCCCCCACCCAGCGGGCTCCCCCCGAAGCCCGCAGGGGCCGCCCATCACCCACACCTCATTCAACATGGCGACAGCCTGGGGGCATGGGGGCTGCTCAGGCCTGGCACCAGAGGACCAGGTGAGACCGACCAAGACAGAGCCGAGAAGGGCACCTGCCCCGCTAACTGGGCTCACGGTGCCAGAGTCCGTCAGAGGCGGAGCCACGGCTTTCTGAGCTCTCGGGCAGTGGCATCGAGGCCCCCGTCATCAGCACCAACACCATGCCAGGGGCGATGCAGGTCAAGGCACTGGCCCACCATCCCAGGCAGATGTAGACAGAAGAAGTCAAATCGAGGCCTCACGACCTAAAGGTGCCACCTTCTGCCCTGCCTATGAGCTGGCACTAGTGATGGTGATTTTGCACCCACCCTACCACGCACAAAGAAGCCCAGGAGGCTATTAGCCACCTACCTCCTTCCTGGCTACAAAGGAAGGGCCGGTGTTCGGTTTCCCAGAGAGACAGAATCAACACGATACTTACGGTGAGAGCTCGTGGACACAGAGAAGCCCCATAACCTGCCCGCTGCTAGCTGGGGACCCGGGAAAGCTGAGAACATAAGCACTGATGTTCAAGGGCCGGGGAAGGTGACGCCCCAGCTCCAGCGGAGAGCACACTGGTCCTTCCTCCTCTATTTCCTCAGGTCCTCAAGGTCAGGGAACACCGGCCCACATGTGGCAGGGAATATTCTTACCTCATTCTACCAATTCAAGGTGAACCTCTTCTCACACACACCCAGAAATAATGTTTCACCAGCGACCAAGACACCCCTTAGCCCGGTCAGGTTAACGCATCGATTGAACCACCACAAAGCCTGCAACCTCGGGATGTGAGTGACACCCGAGTTTACAGGGATAAGCTTCCACCTCAGGAGAGACAAACATCCTGCACCAGCTCGGAAACCGGGTCGAGGTGATCACAGGGCTGCACAGGTGCAGAAAAGGCGGAGGGTGGGGGGGTGGGCAGGAGGAGAAGAGGGCCTTGCAGGATGGGGAGCCTGGGCAGGCGAGGTGAAGGGAGGGGCCAGCACAGGTGAAGGGCGGGGGCACTGGCTAGAATGGGGTCACTGCACGGGAGCAGTGGGCAAGTCAAGGGGGAACCCCACACACAGGGGGCCCCTCCCACTCTGCCCTGTGCCTGCCCCCAGGGTGGCTGCCTGCCCAGCGTGTCTCTGCCTGAGAGCTGAAACTTCCAGGGGGGCGTTCTGACTCCAGGGGAGGGAGCCTCCCCCTGGACGGCTGAGGGCCCAGCCCCCACCAGGGGGCAGATCAGGCCAGACCTGAAGTCCATCTCCTGGCGGCCCCCTCCTCCTCCATCCCCTTTCCCCTCCCTCCCTCTTCCAGCCTTCCTCTCTTGGGGCCCTCCCTCAAGAGGTGATTCCTCACCTCCACCCTGCTGCAGTCAGCAAACCCTGGGGCTTGAGAGCTGGCAGGGCCTCAGCGGCTCCGTTCCCAGACAGCCATGTGGTGTGGCTGGCCAGCTCCTCACCCCGCCGCCCCACGGCACTGACCATCGGGCCAGACGGGCTGGGCCAGGACTCTTGGGAGGAGGCCATTTCTGGCTTGCCTGACAGAGAGATTACTGAAAAGGCTTGGCAAGGTTCTCTGGAAAGCAGCTCCATCCCCTGCCGTTCATTCCTGCACTCAGTGAGGTGTCACCGTCCAGGGGCTGGCCAGACTGACCACTTGGCCAGGGCCCTTGGCCCAGGCTCACAGGATGAGTGTCGGGGCACCCCAGCTGGCAAGGAGAACACAGAGAGGCGCTTAAGTTTGCTGCATTAAATAGGAGGGAGGGAAGGAGGAAGGAGGCTAGGCCGTCTTTCCTAGCACTGCCACAGGCCACAGGTAGTGGCCACAGGCCACAGGCCTCAGCCCAGAGACTTCCTCCTGACCCAAGGAGAGCTACCCAAGAACCCCTAACCCTCCTCCAGGCCCAAGGATCGGTTTTTAAAATGATCTAGGGAGGTCCCAGGTGCCTCTGAGATGTTGGAAATGTGGGGTTCAGGGCTCTGGTGAGGCCCCAGCTCCCCAAGGAAAGAAGCTAGGACACTGCTGGCGTGACCTAAACCTCTGGACACTCATCACTCACCGCCCCCAGGCAGCGCTGGGCATTTGGGTCCGCGAGTCCTCCCCCGGCCTCCTCCCCACCCCCGCGTGAGTTTGTGACCCTGCCTCCAACCCTCAGCTTTTCTTCTGTCCAGGGCAAGGGGCAGACTGGGCTTCCCAGGGGCCTGGGCCCAAATGGCTCCCTACAGTCCGGTCCAGAGCCGTGGCCAAAGGCCCAACAAGGGAGCTGTCGCCGGCCTGGAAAGGGGGTTAGTTCAGGGTGAAGTGGATGAGGGAGCCACGGGTCAGCCGCTGAGGCTGGGCTGGAGAGCTGGGCAAGCTGGAGGAGCCTGGGCTGCGCTGGGCCAAGCAACGCCCTCACCTGGCGGCTCCACAGCATTCACCCTGCAGGCCGGTGGGGGCCGGTGGTCAGTTGGCCTCGACCTTTGGTGCTGGCCCTGCCCCCTTCCTCTCCCGCAGCACGCGCCGGGCCCAGCAGGTACCTCTGCCCTCAGAGTGTCCGAGGGTGCGGGCCTCTCACAAGGCCGCTGGGCAAACTAACAAAAGTGTTACCTGAGGCGACAGGGGCAGGGTGAGGGAGGCTTCTCAGGGGCCTCTACAGTGGCCGGGCTTTGGGCCACGCGATGGTTTTACCTGTCCAGGAAAGTAGAAACTTGTTTTAAAAATCACAAGCAAAGCAAACCAGCCGCAGGACCCGACCACGGCTGCGTCCCCACCCAAGCCGCAGGCCTGAAGGGACGTTAGCCCTTCCTGACTCCCCAGCACACCCAAGCCAGCAGCTCACCCCGCCGCTGCCTTCAGGGCCTCGGGCGGCCCCTCCCTGGCATGGCCGCTCCGCCGACCCCTTCCTCCGGCTCCAAGCGGACAGGAGGGCCCTCTGGGCACCAGGCACCCCACATCAGGCCAGCACAGCCCTGGGCCTCACAGCCCCCCTCACGGCCTGCATATCTGTCTCCCTGGCTCCCTCACCCCCTTCATGCTCCAGCCTCACCCAGTCTGGTGAGACCCCCCACCACCACCCAACGACACACCTTCCCTCGGCCGTCTCAGACCTCCGCACAGCACCCGAGGCTGCCTGGCAGCTGTGCGCCTTTGTGGACAGGGCCTTCTTTGGGCCTGTTTCAGCTCAAATATCCTGACAAGGAGCAGGTAAAGGCCGGCAGGTCCCAGGGATGCTGCAACCAAGCCACGCCCCACGCGGCAAGGTTACGGAATCCAAGTGGACAAGCGCTTTCTCCAGCACAGAGGCCAGGGCAGCTGCCCAGGAAGACAGCGATGGGCCGGCTGGGAGCTTCACCCACCTGGGAGCCACAGCCCAGAAAGAACAGAACAGCTGGCGTTTGTGGGGTGGCATTTGTGGGGTACTTACCGCAGGAGCTCCCAAGCCCCTGCTAACTACCCCACACAGGTGAATCTACTCAGTTATCCCCCCACCCCCACCCCCGCAGCCTCGGGCTGGGTCCTGGTCTCCCGCTGACTCATGGTTAAAGGCAAGCCCAGCTGGCCTGCTCAGGCTGGGGGGCTGAGCTCCCACGAAGACAAAGAAAAGGGGAGGGTCCCCAAGGTCCGCCTGGGGCCAGAGACAGAGGAGAAGGGGTGCATGCCCCAGAAATGACACGCTCGCCCCAGAAATGACACGCTCACCTTTGCAGCAATACAGGGAGCAAGGAATTCAAGCCTCTTCTCTCTCAAGCCTCTTAAAGTTGTTTTATTTGTTTGCTTTTCTTTTTTGCTTTTTTCAACAATAATGGCACATTTTAAAAAATCGAGAACTACAAAAAAGGACCACGTCTTTGAGTCTGTGTTCACTTTGTCCCACGCAGCGGGGCCAGGACTGGCTGGACCCCCCTCGGGGCTGGGGTGCTGGCATCTTGCAAAGGCCCTGGTCAGCTCCCCAGCACAGTCCCACGCCAGGGCTGCCTGCTGCGCCCCAGGGCCCCACTAGAGGGCGGGACCCGAGTTCCCGCTTCTTTGAGGCCCCCAGGACCCGGCAAACCCTGCCTCTCTCTGAACCAGAGGGAGGAGCTGGAAACTTCAGGGAACTTATTTCGGCCCCCACAGGGGACTCTTTAAGGACAAGGTCCTCCCCCTACCGGCAGGAGATGACACCCCAGCCCAACCTGGTCATCCCCAGGAGGCTGGGGTGTCTCTCCCCAGTCCTGTCCCCAGCTCAGCTGACACCACCGGGTGTCCCGGTTCTCAGGCTCATCTGCCGTGACCTCCCCATACCCACCCCGTAGGCACGGCACGGGGGTGATAGGTGCTTGACCCTCAGTTGACCCCCACCGGGAGAAAGAAGGCTCCCCAGACCCCAGGGCCCTGGCTGGAAGGTCTGGGGAAAGGGGTTGGGGGAAGGGGTGGGAGACAGGGAGCTGGGGGGGGCCAGGTGGGGAGGAGAGAAGCCAGGCTGAGGGCCAGCGGAGGCCCTCAGGCACTGCAGTGAGAAGGGGTCCTGGGGCCGGGGCAGCAGCCTGGGCAGCGGGTTCTGGGGAGGACAAGGGAGAAAGCCGCTCCTGTCCTGCCTCTGGTGACCATGGAGGCACAGCCCAGGTGACAACACCTGAGGCTCCCCAGATGGGAAACTCCACTCAGCCAGGTCTCAGCTCAGCCCTCACGGCAAGGCGGGACCCAGCCGCTCAGGGCCTGCTTGGGCCCAGTGCCCAGCAGCGGTCCCCAGGGCCCCTCCACAGGCCAGGGAGCCTGGTAGCTAGCAGGGGTGGCTGACCAGGGCCCCGCCTCCCCAGCTGCTCGCCCCCGCCCTGCCCACGGCTTGGCTCTACTCCTGCTGCTCATTCATCTCCATGTCGGACACCAGGATGTTCTTCTCCGTGGCCTCGCCGGGGCCGGCGGAGCTGCGGCTGTAGCGGGCACCCTCGAAGGCCCCACGCTCCGCGCTCTGTCGCCGCCGGTAGAGGATCAGCGCAGCGGTCAGCAGGGCCAAGAGCAGCAGCACGGCCATCAGCACCACCACCAGGGCCGCCGGGTTCTCGGGGAGCGCGGCTGCGGCAGGACGGACAGACACCCGTGGAGAAGCCGCCCGCCCGCCCGCCCGCTCGCGCCCCGTGGTGGAGGGGTTGGGGGGGTGGGGCCGGGAGGAGCGGGGCCGCCCCGTCCTGCCTTCCACTCACATGATGGGGAGTAGCTGCTCTCCGTAGCTGTGGAGAAGAGGGAGCCGGGTTAATAGCACGGCGGTCGTTACAGAAGTAGCGAGCGGAGGACACAGGGCACTTCCCGCCCTCCACCTTCTCCGCGCGGCTGGGGGGCTGGGGGCGCTGGGGGGGCTGTTATCGTGCCCATTTTACGTATGAAGAAACGGAGGAGGCCGCGGCGCGAGGAACGTGCCACAGTCACAGGGCTGTCGGTGGTGTGGCCGGGCAGAGACCCCTGCCCTTAGCCACGACGAAAGGACAGGGGCTGGCCACTTGGCGAGTCTGTCCCATCAGACATTTCTCCCGGGAGGGGCCCGGCCTGTCAACCCCTGCGCCCCGTGTACTGCGTGGCCTGCAGAACGAGAGCCAGTCGCTTGGGGGGCAGAGGTGTGCGGGCTGCTGCTGGCGCCCCGCTAACCCGCGAGCTGAGGGGGGCAGTGCCAGCAGTGTGGCCCGGCGCGTGGGTGCAGCGGCCTCTCCGCAGGCGCACAGGGAAGGGCTGACTTTGACAGCGGGGTCACGTCTCCCCCGTTCCGACTCTAACTGTGAAGACTCGCCCACTGCCCCCTGGTCAGGGCTGGGTGCGCACCTCGAGGGAGCTTGCAGACCACGCCCATGGTGACGTTGGTGCAGGCCCCGGGGCGCCACAGCCCGCTGCTGCTCTGGATCCAGTAGCAGCTGTTGTGGCTCAGCATGCTGGGGCCCAGGCCCGGGGGCCCCCAGTTGGAGTAGTTCACCACCGTGTTGTCCTGCCAGACCAGGGTGCCTCCTAGGGGAAAGACGGCACTGAGGGAGCCCAGGAGGGGAGAGCAGGGGTGCGGGGGGAAGGGGGCAGGTCCCTCCTAGAAGCTGCTCCCCCCTCCCACAAGTCCTCGCCCCAGCCACACCCTGCAGCCTGTGGCCTGACTCTCCCCCAGCC